TGCAGAGAAAGCAGTGCTTAGAGGGAAATTTGCAGTCCTGAATGAAATAAAAGGCCCACTGATTATAAAAAGAAGAAGTAATTAGTGATTTGGTAATAGTTCAGATATCAATATAATGAGAGAGACAATGATCAGATAGTTCATATTTCTACTTTGTATGACTGCGCCTTTTAATCTAGATGTTTCACTCTCCTAATAAATATCTGCTTGAATCTTTGGGGGAAACCAGGGTCAGGGGGCACTGCCTGCTGGTCTGTGTTCAGAAGCAAGTCTTCTGCCAAGGCAGAATGGGGTTAGCTGTAGCTTGTTTTCATAACCTACCATCACACCGGCCAGATCTTGAAACTCAGAAGACAAAGCAAAGAAAGTTGGGTCTCTTTGTTTTCAGCTCAAGGCCTTTTAATATCATCAAATGTCTCCTTGTTTCCTGCTGAGCAACAAGGCATACTGTTCTGAATGGGACCTTTTATATTTGGAAATTCCACAGTTCCAGTTGCTCTGACTCTCTGGTGCCAAATGACATCTTCAGAAACTTTGAAGTTGCATGTTTGAAGGAAGCTAGTCCTACCCACACCTCTCACCCCACATGCCTGCTCACAATGTCAGGTGGTGGGAGAGCAGCGGAAGCAGCTTCTGGCAGCCAAGTGGTAGGCACACTGGAGTTAGGAGACCAGCACTGCCCATCATGCCACCTTCCACATGCTTAGAGCTGCCAAGAACAGGTTTCCAGAAGCTCTATCTGCTAGAGGGGTCAGGCTCACCTTGAAGAGATCCATTCAAGTATCTTCTGTATCCTGGTTCTACAAAGGGCATCCATGGGAGACACTGGTCTGAACCCCAGCAACCCACTGAGGTCCCGATGGCACAGACATTACTGGAGCACGTAAACTCTGACTGCTTATTTGGTATTAGATTTTATTTAATCATTGCAACAAACACCATGAAGCCTCCTCCATGGATGAGGAAATTAAAAATCAGAGGCTTTGAGGATTTGCCCACATTTTTACAGGTACTGAGCGGAGAGAAGAGATTCAAAGCCATGTCTATTTAACTCCAACATGGGCTCTTTCTTTTAGAACATGCTTATATTCAGATCCCTCTCCTGCTCAGTTATTAATAATCTGTTCCCCTTGGCTACCTCCTGGAGAGCTGCGTCTTGGGCAGACTCATTCCGATTTGACCTTCTCTGACAGTTTGCTTTCATTCCAATGGTACTCATCCCTTCTCTTGGCCCTCTGTAGATACCCAGAACCCTCAGATTCACTTACTTTCTCCCTCAGTCTCCCTAATACATGTGTCTGAGATCCTCATTCCTGTTACTAAGGTGCGAAGGACATTTAGCAAAGGACATCCTATGTACACACTCAAAAGGGATTTAAGACCAGCCCAGTGGAAGGTTGCCCTAGTGGAGGGGCCAGGCTGATGATACCTTGTAATCCTTGCCCCCCTCATAGCAGTTGAGCCCATGCATGGATGGGCGGGGCTTTAAGATATTAACTCACTGTGGAAAAGCATTTGAGAATATCAAGAAATTTCCCTTTTCATCTAGGAAATCATAGAACCTCATATACCTAAACACAATGTCAGGATCTTAGTATGTTATTGTCATTCATAATGTATTTACTGAGCATCAACTTTCTATTAGGTTATGATGAGGACATAGCAAACTAGAGGAAATTAGACCCTGCCCTCAAAGAGCCTGAAGTAGGAGACAGACTTGATCTTCAAGCAAGAGGAAGAGAGAAGGGAATGGATACCCATCCCATCTTGAGAGACATAGAGGAACAGATTTCCTGGATGACATGAGCTAGATTTGCTACTTGAATGATGTAGTGAGGAGTAAAACTTGGCATTTAAAAAAAGTAAGTAAAGCATTTAAAATAAAAAAAGAGGAAGTAAAGACATTGAAAAGAACACTGTTTCTCTCTTCTACCACCGACATATCTAACAGCAGATGTGCAGGCTGTTTGGTACCAAGCTATTCTTTAGTTCTTGGCAGAGACTGATTGGGTGTCCTGTGACTTGACTTAATTCTGACATTAACTGTCCAGAGTCAGTTCAGACCCCACAGGTTAAGGGCACAGCCCCACAAGTCAGCCCCTTCTTTCAGATGCCAACACAACTCCCAGGTTGTCATCAGTACTCTGGTTATAAAATGGGTTCCCGCAACTTCTCTCCAGGTTGCATCATTTACTGTAACAGGTCACAGAATTCACACAACTTACTTATTAGAGTCTCAGCTTATTATAAAGCACACCTTAGTAACTGTCAGGTAGATAGAAGAGATGTAGCAAGCACTGTGGAGAAGGGCATGGGGCTGTATACCCTCTCAGGTTGCACCACTGTCCCAGCATCTCAACATGATCACTAACCCTTTGGAATCCACTGTTAGGTTTTTTATGGAGGCTTGATCACTCCAGCATGATTGATGAAACCATTGGCTACTGGTGATGGAACTCAACCTTCAGATCCTCTCCCCTGCCTGAAGAGGTTGGTGGGGGTGAATGTCACAACCCTCCCATCACATGGCTGGTCCCCTCTGAATATCACTCCTCCATCCCTAGGGACTTTCCAAAAATCACCTCATGAGTACAAACTCAGGAATGGTTGAAAGGGATTTATTATGAATAACTAAAGACGCTCTTCTCGCCCCCCACCATTCAGGAAATTCCAAGTGTTTTGGCAGCTCTGTGTCAGGAACTGGGAAAGAAAACCAAATATATAGTTGATATTTTATCACATCATTGTATTCCATGCAGAGGGAACAGAACAACTACAACAGAATAGGTGTGAACAAACAAGCATTAGATGTGGTATTAACAAAGAACTTTTGAGAAGGGGGTGAGAATGAGCTTGAACAATCAGTAGCAGTCTTGCTATGTTAATGAGTTTGCAACTGCATGAATAATAACCGCACTTTACACTACAAAATGTCCCTATGGGCAGTTACTACTCTAAGGGCCTTACACGAATGCCTCATTAAGTCTTCGCTACCATTCTGCGGTATTATGGCCCATCTGATATATGGGTACCAAAGCCCAAGACCACACAGATGGTCCATGGGAGGGCTGGGATTCTAAGCCACACAGTCTCTAAATCACCACACCCATCCTCCGGAAATAAGATGGAATCACCTCTTTGGAGACTGAGGCAGCACTGTCTGAGCACAAGCACCTCATGGATGTAAAGAATAAAGTAGAAGCTCCAGCCAGACTCACAGCAACTCCAGCTCTGATGACAGTGCCAGGATGGCAAGTGCCGCTGTGCTGGCCAGGATGGCTCGTGGTTCGGGTTCAGATTTTTTGTGTGCAACATGCAAGAGACATTGGTGCTAGTGTAAACAGAGACTACATGGAAAATGACCTCACTGGCTAAGGGCTGAGGCTGAAATGCTTGCCTCAGTTTTGGCCACACCAACCCTTTTTTCCTCTCTGGCACCTTCTGTGGTCACATGGCCCCATCCCAAGGCTGCTGTAGAGTACCTCTCTGTGCACAGGGTGGTAGCTCCTGGCAGCCCTGGGTATCTGCTTTGCTCCATGGAGGAACTCACCCATTTCGGTAGCAATCTGCAAGATTACGCATGGAGACCAACGGAGAGATATTTATAATGTGTGACCATGTTTCCCTGCTATGGAAAAAAAAAAAAAAACTGGAAGAAAATGGTGTGATTCATTGAAAAGTTTCACTGAAGGACTCAAATAAGCACATGGTTTGTGGCATTTCTACATCAGTACAGTGATGTATTTTTCTCCCAGAAAACTCAGCTATACCTTCTTTTCTCTACCGGCTCCATGAAGTAGGCATAGGAGAAATCTGAAGCTCAGAAAGTGAGGAAGAATCAGAGTCAAGCTTTCAAACTCCTATCTTTTGGACTTTTAGCTCAGTGCTTTTTATCTTCATGGGTTCTGCTTTTCCCAGTCCCCTGAATTCAGGTCAAGTACTCTCTCTTCTACCTGCTACTAACTTATTTATTAGTAAGGATGATACTCTGCCTGTGTGTACCGGTTCAGGTTTTTGTTGTTAGTGGGTAGCAATTCTGATTGATCTGTGACCATGCCATTGTTAAATATTTTGACAAAGAAAATATTTTGGTATATAAAACATACACAAAATATTTAATTATTTTTTTCTAGCATATCACTTCAAAAAAGATTTATGAACATCTATTAAAAGTAGATAAAGAAGCACAAGGAAAGAAAGAAAAATTGGGGCAGCAATTAGACACACACAAAATATATGTCATAGTCTGAAACACTTGCTAGAGTTGAGCTGTTTGTTGGATTCTAGATCCACCAGGAGTCAATGGCAGAAGAAAAGCTGACTGGTGCACTGATGTGATACAGTGTGTCTTCAAGAAAACCCAAAACAAAGCACATCTGATATAATATCACCTTCCTGAGATCCCTCAAAATGAGACCACTGTCATTTAATTAGCATTGTTCCCATAACATGTATAAAATCCTGAGCAGGTAAGTAGTTTCAAAGGGTCATTTCCATGGGCTGTTTAAATCAAGAGGCCCATGGCCAGATGCTATCTAGGCTTTAGCTGTTTATGGACGTCTGAGGACACTGCCTTTCTCCCTAGTTGGAAGATAATTTCTCTAATGTGTGGCTGTCGATTCAAATTTTCTCTGGAAAATTACCAAAAATAATAACTAATAAACTATACAAATAAGAGCTGAACTACAGCTGAGGGGATGGGAACACAAGGGCTGAGATCTTTTTTAACCTGGTTGAGCTTCTTCTCCTTAACTATGTACCTTTCTCCACAACACAAGGAAAGGCAGTGTTTTCACTGCCTTCTAATATAACAGGTAGAAAATCTTACAATCATTCCAGAATTCCTGTCTACTCCAGACAGACCAGAGTCAGTGCAATTTTCATGCCCATTCATGTTGTCACTCATTTGTTTGTTCTTTGTCATAAATACATCCAATGCAACAATGCATCTGGCCATGTGGACACAGAGGTGAAGAAGACACAGTGCTACCTTGGAAGAGGCTATGGAGAAGGGGACACCAAAGTGTAGACAATAATCCCAGTGCAACAGGGAAGCATGGTCACAGAGAGGTGGTGCCCAGTGCATTGGACAAAGGCGAGAGAAGACCATTATCGTTGCCCGGAGGTAGGGACGGGTTCTGAGCGGTGTTCGTGATTGAATCCAGTCCTAATATAATTCTTTCAAGGATGTGAGAGTGAAAGGAGATTATGGATGAGGAAAAAAGCATATTAATGGCATAGCAGCAAACAAGAGTGGAAAATCTGTTTGGGCAACAGCAAAATTAAGGGATACAGAGCAGAACTGATCTGACTACCTCACCCACAAGCCAGATAAGAATGCATAACTCTGATTACTACATTGAAAAAGGAGAAAAATGCCCCCAGCACATGACTTCTTTAAATTTTCAGAGGGGGGGGATTTAGGGACAGAGCTTTCCTTTGTTTGCCTTCATTAGGCCCTGAAGAGGGGAGTTGAGGGAAGAATGGATTGCAAATTTTCAGGGTGCATCCAGGGCTGTCTGATGGTCATGCCTCAATGACCTGAGCCAGAGTCTTCCCCTACCCTTTAGAAATGACAGGTTTCCTCCCTCAATATCAATAGCACATGATGTTCCATCTTCCATAACCTGCTACTCTGCCTCTTGGTGAGAAGTGCTGGGCTTGGACCTCATATCTTGGTCTTGCTTAAACTCCATCCTTATGATTAGCATGCAGCTCCCATGGCCGAGAAAGAATGTGTTGTCTCTAACTTATTTACAGAGGCACTAATGGCAAAGCCAGAGATTTGCAAAAATCATACCTTGAGTTAATATTTACTTTTTTTTTTTTTTTTTTTTTTTTTTAGCAGAGAGGGCATATTGCCAGAAGAATGAGTGCCTTTGGAGTTGTCAGATGCCAGGTGAGAGATTTTCTTTGTGATTCTATGAACTGTCTTCCAAGTAGGGGAGAAAGCAGTCTTTACAGATTCTTACAAGTGGTATGTGCTATTGAAGTTGAGTTGGTTAAAAATTTAAATCCCTATTAGGAATGCATAACTTTCATGATTTAATGAACCTTTCATGATTTAGGAATCGATCAATTAAATTTCAACAGGATCAGTGGATTCCCTCTCCAAGTTAGGGGCAAGTTTAATGGTCTTGAGAATTTTAAAAGACCAAACAAAAAGATTATAAATGGGGCCTCCCTGGTGCCACAAGGGGTTAAGATGCAACCTATGAACTATCCGCAGCCACTGTAGCACGAGTTTGATCCCCGGCCAGGGAGCTACCCACATGGCACAGTAGACCTCTCCAGACTCATCTGCTGCTCCTCTCAGCAGTATATTCCAGACAATCTGCCTGTTCTGCTCCCCACTCTGTCTCTGGTGAATCCTTTCACCCCCCACCCCCCACTGCTGGCCTATACCACAGTTCTTCTATGCATAAATAAATAAGTCTTTTAAAAAAAGGATTATAAATGTTCTAGTAACACAACAAATAAACCAACTGTATACATTTAATTCTCCTTAGAGTTTTGGGACAAAGGTCTTTTTAATTTTTATTAGAAGTCAATTTTTCAGTGAAAAAAGGAAAATGTGAAATCTTTGCGTTCACCGCACACTCAGAGGTCGATGCTCACCTCTCTGATTTACTGTGATTGGAGTCAGTCAAGCCAGTTGGTCGACCTACTGTTGAATCTTCCTTGCTGGCCTATGTGTGGCAGGACCCCAGCAGGTCTCTGCCACAGCTTGCACTCATTAGCTGGCTCTCCCTAATGCAATAGTAATCTTCTCTCATTCTATTGAAAGTGACCCTCTCTCATACATGGTAAATGATTTTTCGCTGCACAAAATGTGCTGAAGCATTCATAGTGTGGCCGATCACAAGCCACACAGGAATAGGGCTTTACTCTTAAAGAATAGTGTGTGCCTGCCCTGGGTCTTTGTTGCTTGCTTTCAACAATCTTTGCCAGCTCAACATTCTGCAAGAAAGTGTAAATCCTGCCACGGGAAAACGAGGTGTGGGATATGTGCCTTGGTTGATGACATCACCTCTGGTTAGGGCTGGAAATTGTGTTAGACTCTGCATACAGATACTGGCTCCTGAGGTGCCAGATTTTATAGCTGTATATTCTGAGCTTGAAAATTCATCATTTGAGAAATGGAGAATATCCCTCTGCTTTGCTAAGAGTCAGACGAGTATCTTAAGGGACTACACAGGCCCAGAAGTCCAATGAATAGAAGATTTCACACCTGAAACTGCTACTGATTTGGGCCAAATGCTTGTGATTGGTTTATTATAGGTCTCAGTTTATGTACTTCTGATAACCCAGCTAATGAATGCATGGGCTGTCTCATGCTTGAGAGGGTCTATCTCTATTCAGAGATTTCAGGACTCTCAAGAAGGTCTTTAAACAGATGAATGCTGGAAATTCTATCATTATAAGACAATCTCTATGGCTTATTGCAATTCCCTGGGAAGCACTCTCTGCTGAAGTCCCCTTCAGTGCAATAATTATCAATCTGAGACACAGTGTCCTCAAGAGACATTTGTTAAAGTCAGAAGACATTCTTCATTGTTACAACCGGAGAGAGAAGGCACTGCTGGCATCTAATGAATGAGGCCGGGATGAAGTTAAGTATCTACAGTGCAAAGGAGAACCCTCTACAGCACAGAATCATCCAGCCCCAAATGTCTATAATGCCAAGGAGGAGAAATCCCGTCTTAGCAAAGAGAGAAGCAGCATGAGGAATCTGATCCCTCCTGTGGGCCAAATTAGGAAGCCATAATACGGAGGACACATAATGGAAAACACCTTGTCCTTTTGCTGAGGATTAGCTCTGAGCCAATCCTGGAGAAGCATGGTCTTCAGGATGCTTTTTGTTAAAAGCTCAGAAAGAAGGGAATGAAACAACGATGCAGACTGCCCCAGGCCTTGCTCAGAGCTGGGGGGGCTCCAGCATGAAAAGAGGAAGTTTCCCTAGAGAATAAAGAATGCAAAACCCAGGTGAATGGCCTGCAGCAAGCCCAGAGCAGCTCAGATAGATTCCACATTAAACTGCTTCTCTAAAGAGTTGGGTTTTCTGTCTTTGTAGCAAATACAATGATCAGTACTTTGCAGTCAGCTGCACAGGAGATTCCAAACCAACACAAAGCATTGGCGCCTCTCCTTGGGGGGGTTTTGTGGAGGATACAGACACACCCTCAGATCTTCACAGACAGGCCTCTCTGCAAATTAACAATGGAGGATGCATGGAGGGCAGCCATCTTCCCCAGGCAAACTCTTCCAAAGTGGTGCATATTCAATACTTTTCAACACAGGCTAGACATGACAGTTGTTTATTAGACTATGATTTAAAAAAAATGAAAGCAAGCTGTGGGAAGCAGGGCTGTGACACTGTTGAAAGGATGGTGTCTTGTGTCGCCGGCTTCTTGTCCCCGGTCAGCCAACAGCACACGCTCCCTGCCCAGACACACTCTGTTGACATTTCAGTTTGCATCCATCCCCACTGTCCCTGCAGATTCTATCAGCGACTCACCAACTTCTCAAACTAGACCTTTCCATCACTCGTTTTTGTACCATTTGCTCATAAAGAAACAGTCGGGATTTCTTTGGTGTTCTCTTTGCTAGATGAAGTCACGTGGTAACCACAAGGGGACTTTGTGCTGGTGCCTCGGCCTCATGTTAATGTTGCTTGGCGGGAGTAAGGCGAGTCGTCGTGGCCAAACTTCTGAGAGGTGGGAGAGGCCAAATGTCTGACTGCCAATTAAGCAGCAAGGTGGAAAATCTTTGCCTTTCTTTTGGCTCAGGTGAGTTGGTTGGGGGGAAACATTAAAACTAAACAGGCCAAGAGAAGAAAGACTTCATTTTTTAATGTAGAGTGAGTTGTGCCCCCATGAATGTCCCGTTGGGTATCCCCCATCACATCCATCACACGCATGGGCACAGGCACCACAAAAGCGTTCCCAGAATAGTCCCTGGCTTCAATTGCTGAAGCTCCTAGTGGGGCAGATCTGCCCATCACCCAAAGCCAGCCCATATCCAAGTTAACAGTGCAGCCTTCGCCTACACGACCCTATTAAATCAGTCAACCTAATTTCAAAGATTCTGAATGAACTATAGAACCTATATTACCAGGAATGCCAGTAACCATACATTTGTATCATATGTTAAATGTTACATATAATAGGCACCTGCATTATCTTGTTTGATCTTGACAACATCCTTTATTCTCTTATCCATTAACAGCCTAGTGGGTGTCAGGCATTTGGCTTATGAGATGAATTGGGAAGAGAGTTTTAAGTCACTTAACCAGGATCTTGCAATGCAGTGTCACAAGTTAAGCATAAACCCAACCCTCTGATCGGCAGTCACAGACTTTTCAATGAGCTACCTGCTAACCTTTCCACTCTCTTGGTCACTGGCATTTGGCTCATGTAAGGTTAATGGGCAGGCCCCCGATTTAATGACAAACTAGTCATGTCTTTTATTTATACCATTTATGTTTCCCACAGGGAAAGGTGGGCTGAACCCACCCTTTGGCATATCTGGAACGTCTTGGATTAGAAAGTCCCTTATTTTCACACAGGGCCATGTGACAGCCTAGTGACAGTCCTTCAGGTTTCTCTCAATGAATGTTTTCTTCACAGCTACTGCTTGTGGTTCTCAGCATTTCAAGGATAAATGTAGGAAGTGCGAGTTGATGATTTTACTGTGTTTTACAGATGAACAAATTGTGTCACAGGGACATAAAATGACTTGCTTAAAACCACATGCCACCTTCCATTGCTTAACAGGCAGATTGGGGAGGGGGGCATGCATTTGTTACATGTAGGTTTTGCAAAAGGGAGCTGCTGTTTTATTTTTTTAAGGAAAATTGAATGCATCAAAAAAATGTTGTAGACACATTGGCTCTGTAATCCTTTGAATTTATTTGGACTTGCTAGTTGAAGGCCATGCTGACTCCAGGGTGCTCCATTCATATACACACATCGCCCTTTGTCCAAAGAATTGACGTTGCTTCTGAAGCCAAACTAAAGGTCCATTGACTGGAAAGCTTGGTCCATGTTCGGCACCTCTGACACTCTGGACTCAGCGGTTAACATCTCTCTCTCCTCTTCCCTCTATCTCATCCATCCATCCAACCATTCATTCATCTATTAACTTTGTCCAGGAATATTCTTTGAGTATTTATTGAATTCATGTGTGCCAAGTACAATAGCAGTCCCTGAGGGATTCATCTGCAAGCAAATAACCCAATGCTTGTGTATGCAGCGTGTGTGAGTGTGTATGCATGTGTGTGTGTATGGGGGGATGTCATGATTGCATATGTGTGGATGACATCAGCTATATTATATATTTCAAATACAAAAATTCTCTTTTTTATGCCTCTTAGATCAAAGGTATAAGAGAAATGTATTTTTTAAGGATGCCATTGGTTCCAAACCTCTTTACAACATTCCCATAATCTGCCCTTTGTGTACGGTAACCTGGAATGTGTCTTTTAACGTGTATATATCAATGGGGGATACACATGTGTTTCTCTTGCTACTGGAACCATAACATAGATTAGACAGCCAACCCCCCTTATATTTTCCTACTGCCTCCACATTCCAACAAGCAGGACTTGAGTCCCTGTCCAGGTGACCAGGTACACGAGGGTGATAAGGCTGGTCTCTGCCACAAGTTCCCCTCTGATGGTGACCTGGTCACCGTCACTCCCACAAAAGTTCTTCTCCAGGTCCCCTGCCTCTCCCTCTCCACCCCCTCTCTCCCCACCCGACTGCACTCTTGAGCACCAGCCTTGAGTTCAGCCCATGTGGCTCTCTTGTGGCATGGCTGGCACTGTCTCTCCTGGACCTTTGTTTCCTGCATCTCTCCCATGTCCCCTCTTGCAGTTGTACTGGCCATCTCTGAAAGAATGTGAAACACCCAACTATCAGATATCTCTCACTCTTCTCCTTCCAAGAGAATGGCGCACACTCATTCTTAAAGCAAACAAAATACCATCCTGCAAAACACAAAACCAACCCAGGAGCTCCCTGGAGAGCGACTCACTGACAACACTCCCACCAGATGTGTGGTTTGTAGGGGTTTGGTCTGAGCTCACCAGGGAGTCCTCATGCTTTGCACTGGTTCTCCAGGTGGCCTCCCAGCACCCCTTGCTGGCGCTCTCTGTAGACTCGGCCAATGTGGGTATTTCCAGAGTTGTTCCATCCAGGGATAAGAGAGGCCATCACAAATCATTCCGCTGTGTCCTCTTCCATCTAGCTCCTGGCAGACAGCTGGAATAATTCTGAGGACACGTCCATGTTGGTTGGGACTTTGATTTCTGTGGCGAATGCTTTGCCAACAATTTGATTTCAGCCCTTTTTTCAATCTGATTTAGCACCACCTGTTAGAGTGCTTTCAACATCGCTCTCTCTAGACTGCTCTCCCAGCATTTTCATGCACCAGCTCGGACATGAATCTCATGTAGTGTCTGTTTATTGAGAATATTGATGTCTTACATGTAGGGAGTTTTGCACACATTATTCTACATAATCCACGAAATAACCCTTGAAGGTAGGCATGGATCTAACACAGGTTTTGATTAGACGGAAATAGGAAGTAGGAAAGTGATCCATTAGCTGAAGTGGGTTCTGGATGCTTCTGTATCAATGTCTGGTAGGGCTTCTACTGAGCTGCAAGAAAGATGGGGGGTGGGGGCAGGCAAAGCTGCTGGGCCCCTGGGGACATTGGGGGCACCAATGTCCAAGCCTTGCTGTACTTCTTTTCAAGTTATATACTCTGTTCCCGGAGCTGCAGGTCTTTCTTTTCCCTACAAAAAATATATATAAATATATATGCAACCTACTCATCCCTATTTACCAAATAAACTGACTATATATCACACTGTTGCTTATAAAACCTTTTTTTTTTTGGCTTAAGAGGTTCAGGAATTGGATAATGTTTCCACAGTTATACCTGCACAAGGACAGGACCCCATATCTGACTATCCCCTAAACTTCTCATTCTACTGTGCTGGTTCACTTCATTTAAGTCATGCAAGATTCACATCAATAAAGACTATGTTCCTGTTCCTGTTTGAATTTCCATGACAGAGAAAAAGCAGAATTTACAACATGCCATTTGCTTTTATAATGGATCAGACGAATATTGGTGAGAGCAACCGCAGGGTATGGCAGGGTGTCCGTGGGCATGGCCAGTCTCTGCAGCTGGAGCAATAGGAGGGGATGCATGGAGCTCCCCTCCAGCCTCCACGCTTGCAAGGTTCCCCGAGATCCATCCCTGGTGGGGCAATGATGCAGAGGCCACCAGGACCAAGCCAGTCCTCGACTGTCACCCTCCTGCTGTGTGACTTTCCCTCTCTCTACCTTCATTTCCTGATTGCTGGGGGCCTTTCCAGCTCTTTCACTCAATCTCATTAAGAAATATTGGATTTATTTTCTATATCAACATTTAAGTACTTACACAGTGAGCCATAGGAATGTTTTCCTGGAAAGACTTTGCACGGATTTTCCACTGCCTGCTGCCCTCTCTAGCACTCGGGAAGCTGGTATTTTTTTCTTCCTGGTTGCATTTGCCACTTACTCTACTGAAAATAGGAGTTAAGATTTTAGATGGCTGCTCACCACATAAAATATTCCTATTACATTTTCTCAGAGTAAAAGTTCACTTGACTAGATTAGCAAAACTAATGTAAATATGAAGTCATGCTGGTGGCTGCCTGCAGAAGGTGATTTTCACTTTCCATTTTGACTTCGGGGCTCAGTGTATCGAGGTGTCTGTGACACTCTCCTCTGTGTCGCATTTGTGAGTGGGACGATGTTGTAATGCGCCCATAATGGCGACTATTGTGTTAAGGGAGGCTGATGCCAGCGTGCACCGACACGTGTATTTAGTCAGGTGGAAGCTTTCCCAACTGGTAATGGAACCTGTGTGGCTAAAGAGCTTACACATAGGAATGGAACAAGGAGGATTCGATTTCCATTCTAGACACTGCTTTTACCTTTGTGTGGCTACTTGACGTTGTCCTCTAATGACTAACACCATTTTATTTTTCTTTAACATCTAAAGTCCATTTTCACTCTCAGGAAGAGAATACAAAGGCATCTTCACCAAGTGATTCAGTGAAGAAAATTCCAGTTCAATCTTTCACAAGCCCCAGGAGCAAAGGAAGATAAGGTGCCTCAGATAAGGGACAGCAGGTCACGAGAACATGATATTGAACAAAAGAGGAAAGTGGTACAGTTGCCAGGACAAGCCAGATGTTTAAAATACCTCCTCTCACTCACCTGTCTAAGCAAAACCAGAAAGATCAAGGGGTCAGAGATAATTTTTTTCTCCCTTCTATTAAACTCCTTTGTATAGGACAGAAACCACTTCTCAGTTCTGTCATCTCTCAAGAAACTTACAACCTCCTGATTTGCTTTCTTCCAACTCATCCGAATAAAACCATTCAGTGAAAGTACATGAAAGCAATGAAAGGCTTTGCAAAGTGATGGAATTATGTAAAACAGAGTCTACTCAGTGGACAGCCAGAGCACACAGAGCATTCTCAGACTTGGGGCCAGTTGTCTGTGTAACCTCTCCTAGGGGACAGAGTATGTGACCTCTCCTGGGGGACAGACCTCATCTACCTTCCTCTGGAGTTGGCATCACCAAGTGCTGTTTTTGCTGTCATGGCCCTGCCTAAAGCTCCCCTCTCAGACAGTCTGGCCCCACTTGGGCCACATATCAAGAACTTTCTCAGCATATTATGGCACCAAAAACTTGAACATTAAGGACATAATGATCTTCACAGTCAGTAACACACACGAGGAAGCAGGTACATCCCTGATGCTTCCAAATGCCCATCTTGGAAGGCCCCTGTTCTTGCTGGGCTGACAGGGATCCAGTCTCCTGCTGAGTTTTCCTCTTCCTGTGAGGGTTCCTTCATCCCTGATGACTCTGACTTGTGTCTTCCAAAGGCTCATGGGTGGGAACCATCTCTAGCACTTCTGGAATCCACAGGCCATGTTTGTATTTTGCATCATGATGGGGGTAGATGTTTTGTTTCCTCTGACTCTGTCATTCCCAGCCATGTAGCAGGGGGAAGCTGCCAGCCCAGTCCTGTACCAACCTTAAGGGAAGTCAGCGAGAGGGGATTTCATAATCAGGGGAGCTGAGGAAGAGACAGAATCCTGCTATAAATTCTTTGGCTATTGAGATTTATTTTTTTATTATTTTTTATTTATTTATACAAGCACTGGGTATAGTCAGAAGCGCGGGAGGGTGAGAGAATTCACCAGAGCCAGAGCAGGGAGCAGAACAGGCAGAAGAACCGAAGTACACTGCTGAGGGGAGCAGCGGGCGGCAGGAGAGGTCTGCGCGCCATGTGGGACCCTCCTCTGGTGGCCGGGGAGCAGCCCGGGATCGAACTGGCGCTGCAGAGGCTGCGGGCAGCTTCGCAACCCAGCGCTCAACCGCTGCACCACCTGGGAGGCCCTCTTTGGCTATTAAGAGGTAACTTGACCAAGATGGCTCATGCAGCTGGGAAAAAAATCAGGAGGTCAAAAGGTAAGATTTGTCTTAATTACTTAACGTGTGTCTGAGTTTCTGAGGTGTTTTCCTTTTTTTTTTTTTTTTTTGCCATCCATTACCCTTGTTATAAGTATGAGCCCACATCAGTGAGAAAATTTTAGGAGAGGACAAGCCAAGAAAGGATTTTTATGTCAGTAGGTGAAAGAACTTCCAACAGTTCCTTCCAATGAGAATTCTGTGGAAATTAATAGGTCACCAAAAAAGCAGAGATGACGTCCATACTGCAAGAGTTCAATCAAAACTAAATGACCAGTTGGCAAAGGTGTTCGTAAAATTTCATTGAAGTCAAGGTTGGTGGAATAGAGGTTGACTCAGATATTTTAAGAGGTTGCTCGTAATGCGCAGATACGTAGATTCAAGAAATCTATGTTCTCACTTAAGAACACACACACAGTCATGTGTAGAAACACTCCCTGGCATTCTAAAATGACAAGATCCATAAAGATTATGTCCACAAGATGAGCACAGGACAATGGGAGATGCTCAAGAGATATTTGCTTATAGGCGAGGTGCTGGCTTATTTGTCAGAAGAGCAGTAACTGCCAGGGAAAAGGAGACATCTCAGTGGTAGGAGAAGGGGCAGGAAAGAAGATGGGTGAACATAACCGGGAGGCAAATCTTACCTTTTGGCCTCATTAAAACCTTGGGCCATGGCCCCAGGAATCTAGTTCTGGAGCAAGTCCATAAAGCAAGTCTTCAAAAATTTGCACAAAAGATTCTTAAGTAAGCTCATAAATGTGACACCAAGCAAATACTTGACTAAATTCAGCCAAGTCATAAAAGGAGTTGCTGGGGCCAGGCAGCAACATTACCTGTGCTGGCAGAAGTTGGGTGCAGGCGTCCCTGCTCCTAATGAGGGATCAGGAAAGTGACAGCGATTTCAAGTTTTATTTACATTTGGTCCTGGGCCAGTTCTTTCTGGTCTCTGGACTCTTGTCATAAAGGGGAACCAATATAAAGTAGGACAAGACCAAAGAAAACATGTGAACTTTTTATTGTAGAAATATGAACTTTTTATGGTTGAATCAGGCCCTTTGTGACCATGTTACTGCTGGGCACTGGGAAACTGCTCCAGATCATGGACTGTTTTTGGATTTATCCAGGCTGCATTCTTCCTTCAATTATTTTGTTTTTAATTGAATTACTAGACTCTTCTCTTTAGGCCCTCATTAGAAATGTACACAGCCAGGCAAAGCTGAGTTGGAGCCTCCACTGGCCTGAAAAATATAACCAAGTGGTGTGTTAGTTACCTGGGCTGCCATAACAAGATGCCACAAACTGAGTGGCTTGAACAGAAATGTATCCTCTAACAGGTCTGGAAGTTAGAAGTCTGAGATCACGATGCTGGCAGACTTGGTTTCCTCTGAAGCCATGAGGAGAATCTGTTCTTGCTGACCTCAGGAGCTTGCTGTCGATCTTCGCCCTTTTTGCATTTACAGATGCATCGCCCTGGTCTTTGACTGCAGCCTCCCTAAATGTGTCCAGTTTCTCTTCCTTATCAGGGCACTGACTCATCGGATCAAGCATCAGAATGACCTTATCTTAACTTGATTATTTCTGTTAACAAAGTGACTTCCAAATAAGGTCACAATTTGTGGTCCTGGAGGTGACCACTTATATATATATATATATATATAATATATATATATATATATATTTGAATATTAGATATATAAATGTGTGGGGTTGGCGAATAGAATCCCACCGATAACCTGAATTGCAGATCAGGGGGGAAGGGAGCTGCTGTAAATTCCATTTTCTTAAAAAAAAAAAAAAAAAACAAGGAAAAAAACGACTCTGCAAAGCCCAGTGAAGACTGTGGGTCCAGCATTTCAGAAATCCCCCTTTAAATAATCTTTACTCTGCACGTGGGTCTTTGCCCCTTGTATAACACTGAGAAATTTAGTTTACAGTTAAGTGACAAGAAAAATGCATGCCTGCTTCCTCCTTGCTGGTAATCAGCATCATGTAATCCACCACGTTTCACTTCTGGCTTGGGTTGCCAGAGTCTCAGATGTGATTTTTGGTCTTGGTTCCTTCATTAATGTCTCCTTTCTTTGGACCTGGTTTTCAGTCTATTTCTGGGCTTTCTCACATGGTCTTCATCTCTAACCAGCTGTCTTGCGGTCCTTCTGGAGAAATCTGGGATGCACTTGATGCAGCAAAGAAGACCAACTCCCAGGTCATTGCTGTCTCTGTTCCAACTCCTGAAGTGGCTGCCCGTCACCTCCTGCTCTCAGGGTGTTTCCCCTGGATGATCGCATCAAACTCACCTGCAGCTACCAACTCCCTGCTTGCCAGAACTTTCAAATACAGGTTGAACTCTGCTTACAGAGTGGAACCATTCCTTCCCTTGCGTCAGATTTCTGTTTGACAAGAAATTCATATTCAACAATCCAATTGCACAAAATAACAAAGCATCTCCTTTGTATGGTGAACAACTAAGAAGTGGCAGAAAGTCCTGTTTGTCCATCCGTGGTCTTTAGGGAAGACAGTTGTCATTCTCTGAAACTCCATTGCCAAACCCATGCCGCCACTGCTAAACTACTAACTCATTCTTCAGTGTTCATTTCTGTTCCTTTTGTATCATTAAGGGATTTTAGAATAAAACGTTTGAATAAAATTATTCATGTGTGACTACTTCACTGAACACGAGAAGCTGGGATAGACCTCAAACATCTTAGTTAGTTTGACATTCTTTGAGCCGTGACGCGGGCTTGTGAGTTTCAGCCACGGTGCTGCAGTTTTATAAGCAGCAATAAAATAGGGAGGACTCCAGTCTCGATGTGTGTTTGCTCTGTGTTTTAAACTAACTCGTCCATAGAAGCTATCAGATCAGGTACCCATCTATGCCTGTTCCCTTCTCAGCTGATCTGTAAAAAGTCCGAATGTATGTTTCTTCAGTTCCAGAAGGATTTTAATTTGGTTTCTAAATGACTTACTTTTACAATATTCTTTATTTTTAAAGTTCTCTTCGAACACTTCCATCTCTCCAATATCAACAGAAGTCTTCTCTTTCAGATGCACATCCTTCTCCCTGAGAACCCTTAGCTGTGTGGTTATTTTGTTTCTCCTGCTTATGTGTAGTAAATTTTTATTGTTTTAGTGTTTATTATATATTATTTTAATTGTAGTAGGTGTAATATTAAAGTATATTATATAATGATAAAATGTATGAATGATTAGTTTATTTTTTTATTATTATTTATTTATTTTAGACAGTAGGATACCAAGCGGTTAGTTCTCACACACATAATCTTATTGCCTCTTAGCCTGAGCCTGGGAAGTTCACTCATTATTTTGTTGTTGTCAATTTGTGGAGATGTACGCAGTTCACTTCCAGGCTCTCAACACCAAGTCCTGTCACCCAGAGGTTTTCCTCCGAGACACATGTGTTTTCACATGCCTTAGGGACTTAGGTCAAGGCCCTTCTGCTTACTGTGCAGGATCTCTCCATTTTATTATTCTCAGGCTGTGGAGATGTACAAGCCCGACTCCACGCAGGTCACTTTTCAGGCTCTCAACACCAAGT